TCCCTTCTCTTCCCATCCAACCAATCCCATTGATTCTTTCTCATTGCATCCCACCCTCCTCCCTCCCATCAGATCCCACCCCATTCCATTCCTTCTCTTCCATCCATCCAACCCACTCCATACCTTCTCATCCCATCCCATCCCATCCCATCCCACCCCATCCATCCCTTCTCATCCCATCCCACCTCACACCACCCCACCTCATCCAACCCTGCTCCACCCCATCCCTTCTCTTCCCATCCCATCCATCCCACCCCATCCCATTCCATGCTTTTCCTTCCCCCTCCGCTCACCTCCAGCACCATGGAGCCGAATTCCCTGTCCCGGTAGAGCTGCCTGGCACAGGCCAGGATGGTGGATGTTTTCCCGGTGCCGGGTGGGCCATAGAGGAGCAGGTGGGGGAGTCGATCCTCGCTGATGAACCGCTGCACTGCGGGCACCGGGACACCGGGATACAGAGATGGGGATAGTGGGATATTGGGATATGGGTGTACTGGGGTATTGGGACACCGGGATATAGGGATATTGGGATATGAGGATATCAGGACATCAGGATATGGGGATATAGGGATATCAGGATACTGGGATACTGAGATACTGGGGTACCGGCATATGGAGATGCTGGGATATGAGGATACCAGGATGGTGGGATATAGACACTGGGATACTGGGACACTGGGATATCGAGATTATGGGGATATGCAGATATCGGGGTATTGGAATGTTGAGCTATGGGGCGATCAGGATGCCGGGATATCGGTACACCGGGATATGGGATATGCAGCTCTCGGGCTATCAGGATACCGGCCCGTCGGGCCATGGGGCTCTGTGGACACCGCTCTGGCCGGGGGGTGTTGGTTACCGGTGCTGAGGATGTCCCGGTGAGACACGAGCTCCGACAGCGCCTGCGGACGGTACTTCTCCACCCTGCGCCGGAGAGGGCAGGGAGGGGGTCAGTGCGGCGGCAGCTCCCGCGGTCCCTCCATCCCTCAATCCCGTTATCCCTCAATCCCGTTATCCCTCAATCCTCCCGGCCCGGCCGTACCACGGCAGGTTCGCGCCTCCCGCCGGCGCCATGCTGCGAAATCTCGCGAGAGCCGCAACGCGCGCGAGAGCTCGGCCGGGGGGCGGGGCTGGGGGAGACCCTGGATCGGGAATGGGGGACCCTGGATCGGGAATGGGGGACCCTGGATCGGGAATGGGGGATCTTGGATTGGGAATGGGGGACCCTGGATCGGGAATGGGGGACCCTGGATCGG